CCAGACTAGTACATGGGCCGAACCGCCAGTCCATCGAGGAGGAGAGACTTCAGAGGCCTTTAATCTGCCTCGACCGAAGACTTGGAGTGCACTTCAAGTATATATGTTAGATTCGGCATGTAATCCCTAGATGGCAGCCGACCATGTGTAACCCTAGATACCCCTGGTGCCTATATAAGACGGAGGGTTTAGTCCGTAGAGATCATTCTTTCATCATCATCATCATACTCCTAGGATTTAGACCATAACTCATGATCTCGGGGTAGATCAACTATGTACCTCGATACACCCATAATATAAGCAAGAGCAGGATGTAGGGTTTTACCACCTTAAAGAGGGCCCAAACCTAGGTAAAAGCTTGGTGTCCTCTGTCTCTTGTTACCCATCAATCCGATCTCACAGCTCGGGCCCCCTACCCGAGGTCTGCCGGTTTTGACACTGAGGCCAAGCCTCATCTCCATCCATTGCAACCTTGAATGAAGGTCATGAAGGAAGCGAGTGAAGAATCCGCCATTATCGGGCGCGGTCATGCGCGTCGCCGCCGCCGCGTCGTCACCTCCATTAGCACCACTTATTCGTCCTTTACCATCATGGAAAAAATAAAAACGAAAGCAAATAAAAAGAAAAACAAAAGCAAATAAAAAGCAAAAGTGTTGGAACAAACCAACATGAGTGTTTCCGAGCTTAGCGAGCTGAAGTACAACCTCATTACAATTTATTCAAATACCACCACATCTTGATGTAGACGTGGTAGTGACCTCCCCCAAGCTTAAGCTTTTGCAAGCCCAAATTGGTGAAATCATTGTGGCGGTTGGTCAGGAGCCCATCCTTAGCTCCAGTTATAAAAGCCGGTGTTCATGTAGGCGGACGTGTCCTGAAGGGACTCGGTGAGGTTACTCATGTCATTGGAGCCCGGGAGACTGTAGAGGTTTGTGTAGGTGGTGTAGGCTTCTTGTTGTGGTTGCTCCTCATAGGGTTGCTCCTCTTCTTCACCGGGGGCAAGTTCTTCTCCATCTACTTGTTCAGGTTTTGGGACTTGATGTCTACTATGCAACTTTCTTCTTGTAGACTCTGTTGGGCCTCCAAGCGCAGAGTTTTGTAGGACAGCAGAAAATTTCCCTCAAGTGGATGACCAAAGGTTTATCAATCCGTGAGAGGTGTAGGATGAAGATTGTCTCTCTCAGGCAACCCTGCAATCAAATACAAGAAATATCTTGTGTCCCCAACACACCCAATACAATGGTAACTTGTATAGGTGCACTAGTTCGGCGAAGAGATGATGATACAAGTGTAGTATGGATAGTAGATATAGGTTTTTGTAATCCAAAGAAATAAAAACAGCAAGATAGCAAGTGACAAAAGTGAGCACAAACGGTATCGCAATGCTTCAAAACAAGGTCTAGGATTCATACTTTCACTAGTGCAATCTCTCAACAGTGCTAACATAATTGAATCATATAACCATCCCTCAACGTGCGATAAAGAATCACTCGAAAGTTCTTATCAATAGCAGAGAACAGAAGATGAAATTATTGTAGGTAGCAAACCACCTCAAAGTTATCATTTTCGATCAATCTATTGAGCCATCCCTATAAGTGTCACAAACAACCCAAGAGTTCATACTAAAATAACACCATATGATGCACATCAATCAACTCTAATGTCACCTAGATACTCCAATGTCGTCACAAGTATCCGTGAGTTAATTATCCGACATGCATCAAATAATTTTAGATTCATAATATTCAATCCAACACAAAGAACTTTCAAGAGTACCCCAATGTTTCTATCAGAGAAAGTGGGACAAAAACATGTATCAACATATGTGCCTAGATCACCCCATTGTCACCTGGGGAATCCGTAAGTTTATTATCAAAACATACATCAAGTGACTCAATAGGATACCCCATTGTCACCACGGGTATCCACATGCAATACATACGTCAAGTGTTCCCAAATCCAAAATATTCAATCTGATAGTAATGACACCTCAAAGGGAAAGACTCAATTCATCACAACAAGATA